CTATTCCCCCAGAACTTTGTCCTGACGATCGAGGGACCTACTATTTGGCCTCACAAGTCCTCCCTATGGGATTCAAGAACAGTGTCAGCCTGGCACAACATGTGCACCGTGTGATGGTGCGCAGAGCAGGGAGTAGCTCTGGTCAAGGACTCCAGTCCCATCAAGAAATACGGAAGGACCGTCCGTCCATGAACTGCATCGCATCTACTTGGGCAACTTTGACTTGCTAGAAAAGGTGGACAAGCGCACCACAACACTCCTACGAGGGGAGTTAAGTGAGAGTGTGCTGGCCCTACGTCATGAGTATGAGAAGTGGGGAGTGATTGCAGGGCGAGCCTATCCGAAGCCAGCCAAGATCCTTAAGTACGCACAGCTGGCCAGTCTCCTGGTAGGGGAGAAGAGATGTTCCGTCAAGCAAGCGCAAGTGGTGGCAGGAGGCCTGGTGTACATGAGCATGTTCCGCCGACCGCTGCTGGGCTCCCTCGACGCACTGTGGAAGTTCATCGAATCCTTCAAAGGTTATCCTCCAGTCATCCAACTTGAGATCCCCAGTGAGGTCAAGCTGGAGGTCTCGCGCTTCGTATGTCTCATACCCTTGGCCCAGATGGACTTTAGGTTAAACATCAGTCCGGAGGTTACCGCAAGTGATGCTTCCACTACGGGAGGGGGCCTCACGGTGAGCACCGGGCTGACAGGTTTTGGACAGGCCGCAGCAGTAGCCTCCATCCGAGGAGATCTACCTGAACCGTCAGATGTCTGTGCAGTTCTCACGGTGGGGCTCTTTGATGGTATTGATGCTTTGCGGGTGGCGGCCGATGCTTGTCGATTGCCAGTGTTTGGGCACATAAGCGTTGAGGTCAAGAAGGAGGCTAGTCGAACTCTTGAAAGTAAGTTTCCATCGACCGTGTTCATTGAAGCAGGAGTTGAAGCGGTGGACGATGAGAAGGTAAGAGGTTGGGCATGCCGCTTCTCTCAGGCGGCCGTGGTGATCCTCGGAGCGGGACCCCCTTGCCAGGGAGGCAGTGGGCTCAACAGTGAAAGGAGAGGCGCGTTGCGAGATCACCGAAGCTGCTTATTCAGCCATGTCCGACGCATCAAAGAGCTCCTGAAGAAGCACTTCATCTGGGCCCAAGTCAGGTACCTGACGGAGAATGTCGCCTCGATGGATGAAGCCGATCGAGCGGTCATGACGGAGGACTTCGGTGACCATCCTTCGATGATTGATGCGGCGGGCGTCTCTTTGGCAAGAGGCCGAGATTGTACTGGTGTGATTGGGGCCTCCTACCAGGGGAGGGAGTGCGTCTCTGTTCTTGGAAAGGCCAAGGAGCCACTGCTTTCCGTGAAGTTGAGCTTAGCGCTGAAGTCGACCCCAAGGAGTACCTCCAGCCGGGCAGCACAAAGGCAAGCGTGGAGCCGTTCCCGACATTCACGACGTCGAGACCCAGGAGCCACCCAGGCAGAAGACCAGCAGGATTGGACCGACTTACCCCAGAAGAGCGCCAAGACTGGGAAGCTGATTCCTTTCGGTTCCCGCCATACCAGTACCAAAGAAAGTTGTCAGCGGTCGATTCAAATGGACAACATCGTCTTCCCAACATTCGGGAACGTGAGACCATCATGGGGTTTCCAAAAGACTTTACGGTCCAATGCATGAGCAAACAGTTCCATGGACAGCCCCAGCATGAAGATGAGCGGAAGAGTCTCATAGGCAATTCGTGGAATGTCACGGTGGTAACTTGGCTCTTGGCCCAGTTGGGTCATCAACTGGGTCTGTGTCCTCTTCTCACACCTCAACAAGCAGTCCAAGTTACCGCTCCAGGTCGATCAGCCACCCTTAGTGGCCTGCTACAGCGCCAAGGCACGAAGAAGCTACCCAAGGGGCCCGTGCAAGGGGAGTGTGACTTAGTGTCCAAACTCCTAAACCTGGTTAGCCTCAAGGGGGAGGACATCATGGTTCAGGCATCTACGGAGGAGACCCTGCGATATCATCGTCTTCGAGCTAGCCTCCCAGCATCATTGTGGACCTGGAGGACTGTCATGGGCTGGCCATGGAAAGGTAGCCCGGAACATATTAACGTTCTAGAGTTGTGAGCGGTGCTCACTTCCTTGAGATGGCGGATCGTCAAGAAACATGCCATCCGATCGAAATTTGTGCACATGATCGATAGTTTGGTGTGCTTGCATTCGCTCTCTCGCGGCCGAAGCAGCAGCCGCAAGCTTCGTCGTACCATGAGTCGCGTGAACGCTTTGCTCCTGGCCAGTGGATCCCACGCCGTATGGGCGTATGTCCATACGGGGGACAACCCCGCGGACCGGCCTTCCAGGAGGCCGGTGAAGAAGAAATGGTAGGACACAAAACTGCCCATCTTGAGGGCAGGGACAAAGCTGCGCGACAACAACAACGACGAATGCTAGGCCCATTGAGGAATCTTACTGTACAGCCCGCTACCCGAGAACGTTATGACCGTGCACTTGAGAAGTTCCGCCAGTTTTTGAAAGAAGAAAGCCGACAATTCTCTCGAGACCCAGGTACCCTCGATCTTTGGTTGAGCCAGTACATTGAAGTCCGCTGGGAAGGAGGCGAAGGGCGGGCCTTAGCAGCAGACACGATCGCCGCTGTACAAGACTACCTCCCAGCAGTCAAGGGGAAGTTGGCGGCATCGTGGAGATTGATGAAAACATATGAAAACATGGGCTACCAATGAAATACCCAATAGGGCTCCGCCGCTACCTCTCGAGGCTTTGGAGATGATGATCGGCCAAAGCTTGTTTCGGAAAGATGATCTTTTCGCCCTTTCGCTCATGCTTGCTTTCCATGGACTCCTAAGAACAGGGGAGTTATTGGGGGTTCAAAAAGCTCATTGCCAACAATCAGGCCCGCCAAAGGGGGCAAGAGGCAAGGAGCAGCAGAAAGCATCACCATTAGAGAGGAAGACACCCTTCGGAGACTTTGGCAGTGGAAAAATACCCCGTACTCCTGGAGCTCGTTGTGTGAAGCTCCGCACACCTGGCGCCAAAAGTTTGCTACTTGCTTGGAAGCCTGTGGCCTCAGCGACCACCAGTTTCGTCCCTACAGTCTAAGACGAGGGGGCGCCACCTGCTACTTTTCCAGGTATGGCTCGCTAGACCGACTACTCCTCCTAGGGAGGTGGCAGGCTGCAAAGACGGCCAGAGTGTACATAAACGAAGGACTTGCTACTTTGGCAGAATTGCGACTACAGACCAATGCTCAGGCACAGGCGTACAAACGCCAGTATGTCAGGTCTAAGAACTTAGAGCTCCAACCCCTTGGGCGGGCCCGGAAGGGCAGGCCAGGGGACACTGGAAAGGGAAAGAAATCTCGACGAAAGAAGGGCAAGAAATAGCCCTA